AAATGTGAGTTAATTTGCATAGGTTAGTATTTTGGGCAGCATGATGTTGCTCTAGTCCACCAAGGCTTAAAGAGTCACAGTGCAGAGGAAAAACAGGAATTAAAGCATTTCTACTAAAATATATTTTAATAGCTGGTGTTAACTTTTTGCATAACAAAAGCCAAATTATGTTATACAGCCTATGATCCAGTAATATTTCCCATCATTTGAAAAAACAAGTGTTTCCTTCATAACTGAATACTCCTCCCCCCCCCAAAAAAAATACAGTTTTGCAAAGTAACTTAAACTTTACACACTTTTAAGCAAATATACGCTAAACTGTGCAGCAGTTCATTTTTGCTGTTTATATCACACTGCAAAAACCAACATCTGAGAGCATTTCCACACCATGCTAATCAACGTTATTACAGTCAGTGCTGCTTTCTGATGGTTTAGCAACTTGTAATATTAAACTAGATATGATTGTAATGCTACAGTACTTAACTTATTTTCCTCCTAAAATAAAACTGTTTCAACAGCAACTGGATTACAACTTAGATACAATATGCAAACGCTATATATCAGACACAAAAGCATATGAAAGTCCTTTGAATATAGTGTAGTAGTGCAAGCAATTAAAGAAAGAAATATAGCTCCAGGTTTTCTTTCAGAAGAGTGATGAGATTTGAGGTGGGGTTTCTATGGTATAAAGATTGAAGAACCACATAGAATATTTTAATCTTTTAACTCACCAGCAGTTTGCTCTTGGCAGCACAAAGCACTGGGGTGCGTGCAGTCATAGGGAGATTTATGTTTAGATAGCATCTTTTGCTCATTTCTGCATGATATTTAAATATTTGCTAGCTACATCTTATTCCATATTTCATACAGAAGGTTATTCAAAACAATCAAAATCTAGCAGATTTTATTCTTTATATCACATTCTGCCAAGCACATCTGTGCTTGTGATTGTTTTATAAAGAAAGGTGATGTGCCATCACTGTACAATAAAACCTAAAATTAACATTATGGTCAAGTGCCATAGGCCTTCCAAGTCCCCAAGGGACTTTCAGGAAGGACACACATATCAAGAACATAGTCCACTAAAGTGATTCACTGTCGGGCCTTAACCTTGCTTAACTGGTGTGTGATATATCAGTGCGGTCATGATGAGAACTGAATTTCAATATTAAGTACTAATGTGCTATAATGGGCATTATGACTGTAGTATCCATAATAGTAGCTGTGTTTAGAAAAAGGTTAAATGGTGAAGTAAGTATAATGAACAGCAAACGACCTGTATTAATGTCTTATATACTGTATTATATATATAATTATAGTCTTGAAGAATAATAGCACATTACAAGTGCTCACTTCAATGGGGATGAGAGAACTCCAAGATGAACTATGGAATTCTGAGATGATAGTGTCCAGAAGACATTTTCCTCCCCACAAAGATGTTTTTTTGAGCAAGGTATGGAGTGAGGGTGATACAATGTGGTAAAATAAAGGAATTATGTTTTATCTTCCTTGTTTTTCAGACAATTTAAAAGGTGGAAAAAACTGTATTTGATATACTCATTCCTACATTCCACAGTATATCAGCAGGGTCTCACAAACTCCTTGTAAGAATTGTACTTGCAAATTGTGGTGGTTGAATTGAGGGTCTACAGATTACAAGTTGTAGCTCTCATAAGCCATTTTGATAACCAGGCCCCAATCCCCTTACATATTGGGTAGGACTGCTATCAACAATGCTCTATAATCAGAATTCATTTTCCAAGATATCAAAAACCAGAAACCATTCCAAATGAACAAAAATAACTAAAACATGCATTACAAAAAACTGACTGTGCAAATGAATAATTTTAAACTGAGCATATTAATTATGCTGATAATATACCATTCTCAAGAGAAACAGGATTCACATGCTCTTTTGTTTTCTTGACCTTTTATTTTGCAAATTGCTTTAGGTGCCATACCAGGCTATAGGTTATTCAGATTCATAAAGGTAGTTTATTTCCATTTTTTAGCATATCATAGTCTTCTAACCTGATCAAATTATTCCCTGATGTAGCTTGTTACCATACATAGAGTTAAATATCCCTCTCCCAAACTGAGAAGAATGCTAGTATGGTTATTGGGTTTGTTTGTTTTCAAAGACACTAAAAATGGCCACTTGATGCTATACATATCTGCTCCCTCTGCTTCTTCCAATTCATGTCAGTATGCAAAACAGATAACTTAGTTTTGCTGTTGTCAGAAGTATGGAACTAGCAGAAGACCACAACAGCAATTAATATCTAAGGGCGCATCTATACAATAGCGTTATTTCAGAATAACGGCTGTTATTCCGAAATAACAATGTGAGTGTCTACATGGCAATTCCGTTATAGTGGAGTCCGGATTAACCGACACCTGGCAATCAGACACTCCGCTTTATCCGACCCTGCAGCTCCCCGGGAGCTGCAGGGTCGGATAAAGCACAGGCCAGGAGAACGGCCCTGCTTGCTGCCCCATTGCTCTCTAGGAGCAGCTGCTGCCGCTTCTGCCAGGGACGAAGCAGCCTCAGCAGGAGCAGCAGCAGCTTCTCCTAGAGAGCAATGGAATAGCTGATGCCACTCTGCTGGGGACGCTTCATCCGTGGCAGGAGCGGCATCAGCTGTTCCGCTGCTCTCTACAGAAGAGTCCGTATCATCCGACATATTCGGTAATCCAACCATGTGTCGGTCCCATTTAGGTCTGATGATAGGGACTCTACTGTATTTTGAAATAAATACATAATTTCAAATTCGAAATAACGGACGGCTTATTCTGACTTCTGTAAACCTCATTCCACGAGGAATTACACCTATTCTGAAAGACTTATTTCAGAATAGCAGTAGTATGGATGTTGCACTGCTGCTATTTCGAAATAGCTCCTCCCCAAGGCTATTCAAAGTAATTACTTCCTAGTGCTTCCTGAGGCTCTGAATCGAGGTAGCACATGCACATTAGGGAAGCCTGCCTCGGACTAATTTTGAGGCTTCCCTGTAGTGTAGACATGATGTTTCAAAATAAGTTATTTTGAAGTATTTCTTCCAGAATAACTTATTTTGAAATAAGCGTGCAGTGTAGACATACCCTAATTCTGTCTCAGACATCATCAGAAAAAATTTCCAACTGTTATAGAATGTAATTCTTCGAAATGTATCTCATAGCTGGTGATAATGATTGACAGAGAAATAGAATGTTTTTCAGATCACATTTAGGCTGAGCTTAAATTGCTGGCAATCTAAAAGCAGCTGTTTGACTTGCCAACCTAGCAAACTGGACATGGAAGACACCAATAAAGATAAGGGACTGTTGCTGAAGCTGCTCCATGAACACAACTCTCAAATCTTCTGCGGAATTTTAAAACTACAATGTAGTGATAGCAGTGCTGCCTAAATATGGAACACCAAGGTTTCATTTTCATTGAGTCATTTTTGTTGCTTCTACCTACTCTCTGAAGTTAATTGCTCCTGGGGAGCTTCATCCTTGACATTCTTTGACAAGAAAATACATTCGGCCCACATAGTTTTTGATGTACATGGACCTTCCTTTTTAAAAAAGCACAATCACAGAAATGTACTGTTCTCCATCTTGTAGCTTGAGATTTTCTCTCTTAGTAACAATTCAATGGAAATGAAGAAGCATGCGGCCTTTTAACTGTATGCAAAGCACAATTGGCAGGTTGCTTTTAACATAATGAATACTTCCTGCCTTCCTTCATTATTGTTAAATGAAATAAGGCAGGTGTGCTGACTTCTGGAAATCATAAATAGAAAATGCTCTACAAATACAGCATAATTTAGTTCAACTTTTAAAAACTGAAGCATACAAGAAGTCCAATGTACCTTCAAAACTCTGGATGACTACTATGTGGCCACCACCCTTAATTCACATCCGAGGACCAAAAAAACCATTTTGCTCCTTAAACACACTCACATGCACGTGCACCATCTCCTCCATGACACTTTACATGATTTTGTGCTCTCTTTGACTTAAAACCTGATCCTCTAGGAGAACAGCAAGTGAGGAATCTTATATCCACACAGAGTTCAATGAGCATGATCAGGGCCATGTGATACTGTGACTAGCTGTTATGCCCCTCTGATCAGTTTTTGCTTTCGTTCAAAATAGAGAAAAAATAAACTCAGTAGTCAATGTGGTCTTTCATTAATCATCTGGTGAACATAGAACCTGTTTTTGGACAACCACTTGAAGTTACAACTAGAGCTGGTGTTTTGTAAAGAACTCTAGCAATAGACCATTGAACTGTAACATATCTCAAAATCAGAGCTCCTCTCAACTTTTCTATACAGGTACCCGACTCCCCTGTAGCAGAGGAGCGTACACCAGTTTTCTCAGCAAAGCAGACATTTAGCAAGTCACTTGTGGTAAGAATGAAGGATGTAGCTATAAGTTTCATGAGGCCTGGTAGTTCATGGGCCTAAGACTGGCTCTCTATAGCTGTTTTATATATATTGGTTTCTGTTATTTTCACTATAGTTCATCTGATGAAGTGGGTTTTGACCACAACAGCTCATGATTCTATATGGGCTCGTCTTCACTGGCCCCTTTTCCGGAAGGGGCATGTAAATTTCATGAGTCGTAGTAGGGAAATGCGCGGGGGATTTAAACATCCCCCGCGGCATTTAAATAAAAATGTCCGCCGCTTTTTTCCGGCTTTTAAAAAAGCCGGAAAAGAGCGTCTACACTGGCCCCGATCCTCCGGAAAAAGTGCCCTTCAAAGTGCCCTTCAAAGTAGGAATAAGACCCTCCGGAAAAGGGCACTTTTTCCGGAGGATCGGGGCCAGTGTAGACGCTCTTTTCCGGCTTTTTTAAAAGCCGGAAAAAAGCGGCGGACATTTTTATTTAAATGCCGCAGGGGATATTTAAATCCCCCGCGCATTTCCCTACTACGACTCATGAAATTTACATGCCCCTTCCGGAAAAGGGGCCAATGTAGACGTAGCCGTTCAGTTTTGGAGATAACCACCATTCTGTAACTTGTTTTTAAAGTTAGACTAACACGGCTACCCCTCTGAGATTTTTTTATAGTAGGACAGTTAAGGATAAAGGAAGTAATGGAAATTGTTTGTATAGTACTTTGAAGATGGACATTGCTAACTAAATGTTAAGAGAGACCAGGTGGGTGGAGTAATATATTTCGCTGGGACAACTTCTACTTTACACTCTGTGTAAGCTCAAAAGTTTGTCTCACTCACCAACAGAAGCTGATACAATGAAATGTATTACCTCACCCACCCTGTCTCTCATATATTATTTAAGGGAAAGAAAAGAGGCAGCAATTTGGCTCTGCACTGTGGACAGTGCCAGTGGGAAATATTCTGTGGAAAAGACACAGATTTGCCATTAATCAAGGCACAATCAAAACCGATGCATTGGGAAGCAAGCAAAACTGACAGGAGATAAGGGCACAGTCATGAAGGAGAGCAAATGTAAGACTCAGGAATTAGTGCTGATGTGTGGGCAAATGAGAGTGGGAAACTTTCACTGTCAAGAAAGATGTTATGTTTCTAATAAGGCTGCTGGGCAGTAGGATTTTTCCCAGCATATTATCTGCTGTTACTTAGGCTGAATTATCCAGTCATAATTTTTATTGGAACATTAAATGCTCAATGTTAAACAGCTAAATTGAAAGTATTAGCCTCTTGTGATTTCAAAGTGACATAAGAAAAGAATCTATGTTATGATTATGTTTAAAAGAGAATTTAGGAAATCTAGGAAAAAGACATATCTCCTTTATAGCTAATGGAGGGAAACCTTTACATGATTGGCAGCACCGGGCTTCCACATACATCTTTTGTTCTTACAAAGTATTATTATAAGCAATACTGTTTGGATATGTGTCAGATTGTGATTGTTACATCAGTTTGTTATATTAGTGATAAAGTAATGAACGTGTGGTCTTAAAAGCTTCTGAGTATTTTGTTTCAAAAGGGCTAAGTTCAGAATAAATCAGAATAAAGCTCAAAGGACTAGGGACAGAAATTAGTTAACAAACTCAATGTAATTTGCTGGAAGCATTCCTGTTTTCCCAGTTCTCTGAACAGTACCATACATCCAGCCATCATCAATTGGCTGCACATTGACGATATAGTCCCCATCCCTGAAGGAAACTTCATCTTCATCTTGAGCACTGTAGTCATACATAGCTCTGTATGTTCTCTGTTAAAAAAGAAAAAAAAAGAAAAAAGACCATGAAGAACCCAACATTGACAGACATAGCTTCCTTCTCATATACATATACACACTATATGTCAATAAGCTGAAATATAGAATTCAAACCTTCATGCAGAGAGGATGCAGTTTATACTATTTAAGAAGTATACGGTGAATAGAACTGAGTGGACTATTTGTGCCAAATAATGTATTCAGCAAATTTAGTAATTATCCCATAGCCATCTAAATCCCATCATACTCGCTCTGTCCCTGCTTGGATGATCCCAAAAAGGCTTTGTCTTCACTAAGAAAATTCACCCTGAAATGTTATCAGGCCTTGTCTTCACTGGGAACAGAAAGGTGTGCTCTGAACTCAAGTTAGATAACTCAACTAGCCACCAGACATGGACACTACAAATTGCCTCACCTTCACTAGGATTCTACTTCAAGTTAGCTAGCATGAGTTAAGAACACACGGTTTTGTTTGTAGTGAAGACAAGACCTGATAACATTTCAGGGTAGATTAGTAATGATAATGCTCATCTGAATACCTATTAGCACCACTATTCATGCACACATTAAATTTACATAAGTATTTATGCATGAATATGTAAGTATCAGATTCTTTTATGTTTCTGGGAGCACTTTTCTGAGCAAAATGTTGCTCACTTCAACTTTTATGGATAGTTTACACTTTTTTATATGTAAGCAGGGTCTGAATCAATGCTTCCATTACAGCCAGATAGAATGGGAAGGAAATCCTGGGTGTGGCTGTGTAAATACAGTTCACTCAGTTTGCTTAGGCTTACTAGATATTCAACTGTTGGAAGGTGTTTTGCCCATTGTAACCAGTTTGGCTGTTGTGGGGTCACAAATTGTGTTACACTAAATCCAGGAAATGTAAAATATGGCCACCATGCTTGCAGTTATTGGGTGAATGCAGAAAAGTCAGACTGGCTATGTCTACATTGGCACCCTTTTCTGTAAAAGGGATGCTAATGAGACCAGTCGGAATTGCAAATGCTGCGGGGGATTTAAATATCCCCTGCGGCATTTGCATGAACATGGCTGCCGCTTTTTTCCGGCTTGGGGCTTTGCCGGAGAAAAGCGCCAGTCTAGGCGGGATCTTGCGGAAAATAAACCCTTTTCCGGAAGATCCCTTATTCCTAGGAAAAAAGCGGCAGCCATGTTCATGCAAATGCATATTTAAATCCTCCGCAGCATTTGCAATTCCGACTTGTCTCATTAGCATCCCTTTTACGGAAAAGGGTGCCAATGTAGACACAGCCACTATGTTTAACTCAGGGCAAAGAGAGGCTCTGTCAGTGTATTTTGGAGGAACAGAGGTTTGTCTTCCAGAGCTCTATAAATTAAGTTGGGAAGGGAGGTGAGTCAGGAGGCTGCATGTCCTCTGGGCATGAGTTGTAAGACTGGTGCAACTTGTTTCTTTTCACTGTTTCAATGATAGAGTTGAAGAAAGGCTCCATAAGGAGTCTCTTTTGTATGTAAATTTACTCCAGTGGCTGGACTGTGCTTTGGGCCAAGAGCTGAAATCACTGAGGTTTGGCCCAGAGCCAAATCCCTAGGTTTGGCCCAGAGCCAAATCCACCACAAGCCAGCCAAAGATGAGATGACCAGCCACCAAAGGGGCGATGGAGAGGTGTGAGGAGTGGCCAGCAGAGTGGCGATAGCAAGGGGCAACCAACTGATAGAGAGGTGTGAGGAATAGCCAGCAAAGAGGCAGCAGCAAGGGGCAACAAATGGCCAGCAGAGCGGTGCCAGTAAACAGCGAGCAAGTTGATGACAAGTAACCCACCAGAGCGGGTGAGATGCCTCCTACCCTCCACACCCAGGATGGGAGATGAACTCTGCAGATTGCCTCTGAACTCTGGTTTGCCCTGGCCAAGAGCAGCGACTGTGAGTTGGGTGCAGAGAAGGGTTGGGCATGTGAAGTGGACATTTACATTGCTGGGCTTGAGAGCTTGAGAGGAAAAGGACATTGCCCAGTCTACTTGAGCTGGGACATTTACTTATGGCTTTGGTTATGAATTTTGTTTCTGGTTGTAATGGACAGGAGGAGTGCTGACCACCACCCAGCAACTAAGGGGTTAAACTCATGTAGCTAGCAAAGGTGTTGGCCAGGGGGTCAGGAGAACCAATCTTGATAGAGGGATGTAATCTGAATGGGATATAGACTCCTTGCCTGCTTTCTTTGCATGGGAAAGATAAACCAGGAGTTGAGAGACACAGAGGGTACATCTAGATTACATCCCTCTTTCGACAGAGGGATGTAAATTAGGCACTTCAAAATTGCAAATGAAGCCGGGATTTGAATTTCCTGTGCTTCATTTGCATAATAATGTAGTGGCAATCTTTTGAAAATGCACTATTTCGGTCTAGACATGGTTCTTTCGAAAAGCCTACAGGATCTTTCGAAAAAGCCTTCCCTTTTCAAAAGAACTGTGTCTAGACCGCGGTTTTACTTACGAAATAGCGCGTTTTCAAAAGAGCGGCACTACATGATTATGCACATGAAATGCGGGAAATTCAAATCCCGGCTTCATTTGCAATTTCAAAATGCCTAATTTACATCCCTCTATTGAGAGGGGGATGTAATCTAGACACAGCCAGAATGATTTAAACCCAGGCAGGACTCCCATGTCTTCAAGGAATTTGGGGCATGGGAGTGAACTGAACAAAGAGAAAATTGGAAGTAAGGAAAAGGAAAAGTGAATCTAGTCTCATTCAGGGTAATTTTTCTTTATTTTGTAGTTTGGTTTGAACTGCTCTGTGTGATTCTATGCCGCTCCTCCCCCTTTACCATCTCTCATTGTGCCTAGAGACTTTTTCTCTGTATTTTCTTTTCCTTAGTTGCTCTGTAACATCTAGCAACCAAATACACTTTATCAAGTTTATCTTTTGTAATAAAAATTGCTTTTTTAAGGTGATGATTTGATTCTCGTGTCTGGAAGGTCTGTCTATCTGTACATATCTGCATGCCTCAGACTGGGGTTAGTTACCAGAGACTGCATCTTGTTTTTCTCTTTTCTTTTTTCAAGCTCTTTTGTGGCAAAAGAGTTTGGGGAATCCTGGGGATGGGTTCAAGTGTTCACCCCTGGTTTTAGGGATAAAATCACTTGATGGTGGCAGCGATTCCCCAAAATCTGTGTATTGTGATTCTGGGGGGAAGTTTTGTAACTAGTGTTTGTAGAGGCAACGTGTCTGGGGATTTTTTTTTAGCTTTGTAGGCCCTCACCTTCTGCACTCGGAGTGCCAGAGTGGGGAACAGCCCTGACAGTGGTGTTTCCCCAAATTAATGCCACATTACTTCTCTCTTCTTTTATTCAAAGTTTCTCTTCCACACGGAGACTCTGTGCTCATGAGTGGGGTAGCACTGCCTCCCAGAGGTGTTGTATGAATTTCCTAGGTTATTGGGTAGGGGCTTGAGTCAGCTCTGTGATGGATGGGTAGAGAGGAACCCCTAGATATTGAACCTGGCTGCTGCTGGTGCTACCTGGCAGAAGGGTTACATATACTATGGTTAAGGCTGAAATTAGGGTTGAAGCTATATTTGTAATAGATGGAAAAGGCATCCACCATGACTAATAGGCTCTTGATTATGTAAATCCAAATAAATCAATGAAGCACAAATTAGTCTTATTAACTATATAAGTAGAACTTCCCTGGTGTCAACTACATTCTCTTCCTAAGTTTAATATTTACTTCCTATACATAGATCAACACTATTGTCAGCTATCAAAGATTACAAAGTGGCCTTAGAATAATAGAGAACAGATTCTCCAATATCCCTTGATGGGCAAGGTGATCCTTACATTTTAGTTGGAGAATGAACTTTCCCCAAATGCGACTAAAGCTACAGGTTTAAAATTCTGCTCATTTTAAATGTCGTAAGAGTTCTCTTTTCCTTCTTCTTCCTAGTTTCTCAGCAAAAGCCAAAAGCAACCCAGGAATCACACAGAGTATCTCTTTAAACAAAGAGCTCTTTTCCATGTTGCACTATATCCAACAATGATAGCTGGATGTTTCTGCTGATATGATCAAAGGTAAAAAAACATTTAATGTTTGCCAGTATGTTGGCTCTTGGAGCGAACACCCAATATGATCACTCAAACCTTTTATGGGATATCATCAAACTGTCTACCTACCAACTCAACATTAGACTGCTTTGTGTTCACTTGATTTACATAATTAATATTTTTAAAAATGAAAATTTAAGTTCAGAAGAGATGGAAGTTCAACCATAGGAAATATCTAATACCCAGCCCATTGGTCATGTATCACAGGCTTACAGTAAGGCATGGTTCCTTAATTCTGATTCCATGCTAGAATTTTTGTGGTAGGGTTATGAATGTGTATCTGAGTACATGGTGAAAGGATGAACTTGGGCTCCCTGAGTGCCCCAATAAAAATGATGACTGGCTCCCATTGAGCTGACTGCCCTCCCCTCAGTGCTGCTGCCTCTGTATCAGAGGCAGCAGAGCTGGGGGAGGGGGCAGGAACCAGTATGTGCAGGAAGACAGCTTTTAAACCAGCTCCCCATGTGTGCTGGCACCTGCAGAGCTTTCTCCTTCCCCCTTTCCTCATGCTGCTGCCTCCCACAAAGGTAGCAGCACAGTTGTGGACAGGTAGGCAGGTGGGAGCCAGAACCACTGAAAAATTCAGAGGTTTTGTGTTTGCGCAAATAAACACATGTTTACACAAATAAACCCTATTTAGTGGTCAGCATCTACTTTGCCTTCTAAAAGGATTGCATATAGATGAGTTTTGAATGTCAGAGAAAGGGAGAACACACTGTGCCACACATTCACACACACAGATGTATGGGTTAAATAGTGGGCAACAATGCTATACTTTTGTCTGCTAGAAAGATGTGTCCATTATTGACACCCCTTGCTCTCCATGTAGGTACTTATAGACTGTAATCAGATCAGGCTCTGAATCTTTCACTGTAAGACATTTTCTTTATTCCTTTATCATTCTTGTTGCTTTTTCTCTGAACCCTCTCCATTTTATCAACATCCTTCTTGAAACAGGTCACAGTATTCCAAGGACAGTCACACCAATGCTAAATACAGAGTTAAAATAACCTTCCTACACCTATTTGAGATTCTCTGGCTTATGCATGGAATATCACACCATGTCTTTTGGACATAGCGTCAAAATGGGAGCTCGTATTCAGCTGATTATCCACCCCTGCCCTGGCCCACTTTTTAAAGCAGCCAGCAAACTTGCTCTATCCCTAGTCCTGATGTGCCCCCTCTCTACTCTGTGGAGAAAGGATACAGAGTGGGAGGGGACACCTTGACATCAGCACCCTCCTCTCCCTCTCCTGCCCTGCACAGCAAGCAGGAAGCTCCCCACTGGGAGGGGCAGCTCCAAGGCAAGGGCGGCAGATGAGCATCAGTGGGGAGAGGGGCAATTGAAATGACAGCACTTGATAGCCTCTTGGTCAAACTAGTCAAAATCACCTGTCAGAGGCTCCAAGATCTACCAGTAGATCCCGATCTACTGGTTGGTGACCACTGATCTAGACCATCCCTGATAGATGTCTATCTAACCTTCTCTTAAATATCTTCAGAGATAGAGATTCAACAACCTCCCTAGGCAACTTATTCCAGTGTTTAAGCACCCTGACATTTAGGAAGTTTTTCCTAATGTCCAACCTAAACCTCCTTTGCTGCAGTTTAAGCTCATTGCTTCTTGTCCTACCCTCAGAGGCTAAGGAGAACAATTTTTCTCCTTCCTCCTTGTGACACCTTTTAGATACCTAAAAACTGCTGTCATACCCCCTCTCAGTCTTTTCCTTTCCAAACTAAACTAAACAAGCCCAGTTCTTTCAGTCTCCCTTCATAGGTCATATTCTCTAGACCTTTAATCATTCTTGTTACTCTTTTCTGGATCTTCTCCAATTTCTCCACATCTTTTTGAAATGTAGTGCCCAGAACTGAACACAATTCTCCAATTAAGGAGAGTAGAGCAGAAGAATGACTGCTTGTGTCTTGCTCACAACACTCCTGTTAATGCATCCCAGAATCTTGTTTGCTTTTTTTTGTAACAGCATCATATTGTTGACTCGTACATAGCTTGTGGTCCACTATGTCCCCTAGATCCCTTTCCACAGAACTCCTTCCTAGACAGTCGCTTCCCATTCTGTATATGTGAAACTGATTGTTCCTTCCTAAGTGGAGTACTTTGCATTTATCCTTATCAAACTTTATCTTATTTACCTCAGACCATTTCTCCAGTTTGTCCAGACCATTTTGAATTATGACCTTATCCTCCAAAGCAGTTGCAACCCCTCCCAGCTTGGTATAATCTGCAAACTTAATAAGCATACTCTGTATACCAATATCTAAATCATTGATGAAGATATTGAACAGAACTGGGCCCAAAACAGACCCCTGTGGAACTTGTTATGCCCTTCCAGCAGGATTGTGAACTGTTAATAACTACTCTCTGAGAATGGTTATCCAGCCAGTTATGCACCCCCTTGTAGTAGCCCCATCTAAGTTGTATTTGCCTAGTTTATTGATAAGAATATCATGCAAGTCTGTATCAAAGCCTTACTAAAGTCTAGGTATACCATATCTACTAATTCTCACTTATCCACAAGACTCGTTATCCTATCAAAGAAAGCTATCAGATTGGCTTGAACGATTTGTTCTTTACAAATCCATGCTGGTTGTTACCTATCACCCTATTATCTTCCAGGTGTTTGCAGATGAATTCCTTAATGATTTGCTCCATTATCTTTCCTGGCACAGAAGTTAAACTGACTGGTCTGTAGTTTCCTGGGTTGTTTTTATTTCCCTTTTTATAGATGGGCCCTATATTTGCCCCTTTCCAGCCTTCTGGAATATCTCCCATCTTCCATAATTTATCAAAGACAATAGCTAAAGGCTCAGATACCTCCTCTATCAGCTACTTGAGTAGTAGTAACATGAAGGAATCCAGAAGAATTATTATTTCTCAAGGTTCCCAATTCTGGATTGAAAGGGTTTCCACTGGATTTATATTTCTATTTATGTTTATATTTATAACCAGTAGTTAAAGAAGGATGCACTCAAAGGAATGATTCTTTCAATTCAATACTCACCAAACCTGCTGAATGTGGCTGTGAATGCATCGATCTCATAGATGACATACTGGTTTGGTGCATGTATCCATACCCTTGGGACTGACTTTGTTGATATGCCCCAGGAAGCACAGGGGCTGCACATTAAAGAAATACAAGAACATTATTACAAGAGTTAAAACAATATCATTACCAAATCTTTGTGTGTAATTTCTCTTAGCAGTTGGTAGCAGCTGTAGATTGTTCTCCTGTTTAGAAACCTGTAGTATAAATAAGGATTCATGTTCCAAAAAGTAGGCAACTCTAAATCAATAGAGCAGCATTTTAAGTGATATATATAGAGAGACAAAACAAGCCTTGTGTAGGTTGAATTCTACATAAACCTAACACAATCAGCAGATAAATATTCATTAGCATCATGACTGACTGGAAGCACAATAATGAGTAGCAAGGCTTCAAAGACCTCTAGAAACATGGCTATATATGTGCACCAAAACTAAGAACATCACTAAAGCCAGCTCATTAAAAAGTCCACACTCTGGAACAACATAGTTAAGCCAGTGGCCCCCAGGGGAGACATCACTAAGCTGATGCAAGAATTCTTCCATTGACATAAGCTACCCCTCTCAGGAAGCTAAATTAACTACAGTAATGGGAAAACCACACTATCACTGTAGTGAATGTCTACACTGAAGAGCTCCTGCTGCTGTACCTCTGTAAGATGTGTAAGTGTAGACACAGAACTCAAGACTTTGATGCTACATGGAGATAGTAGAGAAAAATGATACCATGGAACACATGACAGTCTGATTTTTGTAAATGAAAAAAGACAAAACTAAAATTAAGTACTGAAACAAAGATGAAATGTTTTAATAACATTGCTTAATTAATTTATTCCAAATTATAGTATATGTATTTTAGGATAAATACCTAGAAAGGCCTATTTCATCTAGGTATATGTGACTTTTTAGCAGTGGATACTCAAGTTCCCTCAGTTTACACTAACTTCTCCAACACCCTGGCCAAGCATAGGCACAATTAAAATCTGGCAATTTCTTTCTGTCCCTTTTCTTTGTCCTCCTACGTCCATTACCATTAGGCTCTATCTGTCCACCATCGCCCTTCTGTGCCACAGACACATGCACATATTTTTGTTGGTAGTGTGATTGTACCATCTCTGTGCTAGTTTTATATTATTGTTGAAAAGCTGCTGAAATATCAAATAACAGCACAGACCCTTGTGATGATTTGGGAGTGTCTGTATGATTTATGAATGGTGATGTGAACTCAAGCTGTGTCAAACTGCAAATTCCTTTTTGTATGTGAAGGTTTTTGCCTTTTTAGTTTCCTGTTTGCCTCAACATTGGGTTGAAGTTAGAGAGATACAGGATTAACACTGAGAGTAGTTGATTTAAATACTCACAGGAAATTGTTCACTCTAGACAAAAGACTGGTCTCTACACAGAAGAACTGGATTAGTGCGGGAGAGGTCACTTTGGCAACAAAGGTGTTTGTCACAGTCAACCTGTAGAACTCCTTACCAGAGAAACAAGAACCAGAAAGAATTAAATAAGTTAATGGAGGTTCGGTCCATCAATATTTATTAGCCAAATGGGTAGGAATGGTGTCCCTAGCCTCTGTCAGGGGCTGCAAATGGATGACAGGAGAGGGATCACTTGATGATTACTTCTTTCTGTTCACTCCCTCTAGGGCACCTGGCATTGGCCACCATTGGAAGACAGGATACTGGGCTAGATGGACCTTTGGTCTGACCCAGTATGGCCTCATGTGAGGAAGCTGAAAATGGCATCATCTGATACAGAGGAATGAAAATTTCCAAAGGGCTAAAACTGCTCTGCTCAGGGGCCATTTTCCTCTAGTCCAGGAGAACGAAGCAATGCTGCACAAACCATGCACTGAAGCAGGACTCTGTACCACCTTGACCCAGCTCAAAAAATGTCCTGGAGGGGTGAGGAAACAGGTAGAAATTTGTGTGTAATGTTTTTTGGTTTATATCTTCTGTGCTCTCCCATGGCTTATATGTTTAAGTGTAAAATAACAAATGTGTTAGACATTGAGCAAAGCAGGGGTAGAGAGGTTTCACAACTGCTGCATTCCCGTAAGAGAAGTGAACTGTGAACCAGAAGCATCACAGGGAGCTGGGGTTCTGGCAGAGGGTGAATTTAAAGACAGAACAGTCTGAGGTAGCTGGACAATGGGTTCCATCTTTCAGATGAGAATACCAGACAGAAAGTCTATCCCCCAAAGAAAAACAATGAGAAGTCCTGGGGCACCTTAGAGACTAACAGATTTATTGGTCTCTACATGCCCACAGAGGCATGTAAAATAGGCTACCCGACATAGTTAATGAAGCAGGGATTTAAATATCTCTGGCTTCATTAAAATAAAAATGGCCACCGCGCTGTTTATGAGGTTTACAGGAGCAGTCGACAAAGGCTTCCCTTGTCGACTGATCCACGTCTTGACTCGCGTGCTGTGCCAACGATCAGCTGAGCCAGCACAGCGCGGTGGCCATTTTTATTTTAATGAAGCCAGGGATATTTAAATCCCCGCTTCACTGACTATGTTAGGTAGCCGATTTTACATACCTCTGTCAGCAGAGGCATGTAAGCTAGATGTACCCTAAGGTGCCACAAGACTGTGTCATTTTGGAAGACACACACTAACATGGCTACCCCTCCCAAGAGTGGGCCTAGGGACCCTGAGATTGAGCAGTGTCTCAATTCTGTTCAGGTTCTAGTGGTTTAAAGTTCCTGGGAATCCGGCACAGGAGAGTGGCTGAAAATGAGTGTTCACTGAGTTCTGACACAAACCTCTACCCTTACAGCTTGCTAGAAGGAGAGTCCTGAAACAGTCTCTGTTCCAAAATTCTGCTTTGGCACCAGATCGTGAGAATCTGTGAAGAACAAGTGTACCTCGGCAGCTGTGAAACCCAACTGTACTGAGATGCCCGTTCAGTTCCTCTGCAACGATCTTCCATTTTGGGGGAGGATGGATGGTCATGACAATAACTGGCATGATTATTAATATTCAAAGTGTGAAAGTTTAATCATTTCCTGCCTATCCATGGTTCACTAGCCTTACCAATATGGGGCCTAACATCTTTCTGCTGGTTTTGTACAGCTATTGAGGAAAGTAGCTCATCTCTCAAATGGTTAATTGGAATTCTCTAAGCATTGCTGAAACTTCACTAAGCAAAACCATGAAAAATAGCCAGCAAAGATGGTGCTTTTCTTTTGACACTTTTCACAAAATGATCATGCCATCTTGGATTCAGTCAACTTATCAATGATACAGTCAGTTTCTTTTAGAGATAAGTGACTGAGCTGGAGCAGCCTAGAAGATTCAAATTACTGTCAACTTGGAACAATTCACCTGGTAAGGATTTTGAGGGATTTGCTTCCTTGGCTTTGTAGGAAGTGAAGACAGCCCCCTCCCCTCCTACCCCAGCAATCTTCCAATCCAAAGTCTTCAGGGTGGATGCAAAACAGATACAAGACAGGAGGGGTGAAAAATTATTTTATGGAGGGGCTCAAAGGTGCAGAATTAATTTATGTGGGGCTGCAGAGACTGCAGAATTGATTGGCAGTTATGGTTTTGGGGAGGATCTGGAAGACCATGCACCATTAGGTTGTGCTTTCATGCAACATATTGGCAAGTAGGCTGTAATATTCCCACCATTTTACATCTGAAGGAACCAGGAAATATAGAAGGATGTGAAATGAACTACAGAGAGTTCAGTTTGTGCTTTGTGAGAATGTTGCAACTTCATTTTACCCAATCTGCTTCCCTATCTCTAATTCTGAGATTGGTAGTATGAGTTAGAGTTCTCCTGTGAAGACTGAGCTCTAATTTTCCAGTCATCATATCTAGAACGTAAGAACATAAGAATGGCCATACTGGGTCAGACCAAAGGTCCACCCAGCCCAGTACCCTGTCTGCCAACAGTGGCCAATGCCAGGTGTCCCAGAGGGAGTGAACCGAACAGGTAATGATCAAGCGATCTCTCTCCTGCCATCCATCTCCACCCTCTGACAAACAGAGGCTAGGGAAATCATTCCTTACCCATACTGTCTAATAGCCATTTATGGACTTAACCTCCATGAATTTATCTAGTTCTCTTTTAAAGAGATCCGTTATAGTCCAAGCCTTCACAACCTCCTCAGGCAAGGAGTTCCACAGATTGACTATGCGCTGTGTGAAGAAGAACTTCCTTTTATTTGTTTTAAACCTGCTGCCCATTAGTTTCATTTGGTGGCCCCTCGTTCTTATATTATGGGAACAAGTAAATAACGTTTCCTTATTCACTTTCTCCCCACCACTCATGATTTTATATACCTCTATCATATCCCCCGTTGGTCTCCTTTTTTCCAAGCTGAAAAGTCCCAGTCTCTTTAATCTCTCCTCATATGGGACCTGTCCCAAATCCCTAATCATTTTAGTTGCCCTTCTCTGAACCTTTCTAATGCCAGTATATCTTTTTTGAGATGAGACCACCACATCTGTACACCATATTCAAGATGTGGGCGTACCATGGATTTATATAAGGGCAATAAGATATTCTCCGTCTTATTCTCTATCCCTTTTTTGATGATTCCTAACATCCTGTTTGATTTTCTTGCCTGCTGCTGCACACTGCATGGACATCTTCAGAGAACTATCCACAATGACTCCAAGATCTCTTTCCTGATTAGTTGTGGCTAAATTAGCCCCATATCTATCATATGTTATACTTTTGAAAGATAGTGAATTGCTATATTCTTAATGAAGATGTTTGAGATTTAGGGACACCTATTTCAAACCACTACAAATATACATATTGTGTTGTGCTGTGAGAGAGAAGAAAGCTGAAGCCATATGTGGATTTAGTCAGGTCACGTCTACACTACACAGAAGATTGACGCTGCTGCAGTCAATATTCCAGCATTCGATTTAGCGGGTCTAATGAAGACCTTCTAAATAAAATTCAGAGGGGGCCCCTATTGGTGTCGATACTCCAGCTCCTCACAAGGAGTAAGGGAAGTTGATAGGAGCGTTTGCTCCCATCAACCTCTTGCGGGGTGGACAGCGATTTAAGATACATCGACTCCAGATACATAAATACCATAGCTGCAGT